ATACATGGGGGGAGTGGTGGCGCAGAGGCTAGAGAAGGTAGGCCTGTGATCGGAAGATCGTCGGTTCAAGCCCCAGTACTGACATCAAAAATGTGGGTGGGGTTGGTGAAGTACCCACACCTGCCTTCACCCTCATTCGCTCCACTCTGGGCCCTTGAGCAAGGCCCTTAACCCCCACCATCTGCTCCTCCGGGTGTCCTACATAGCAGCTCTCTGCGCCACACAGAGGCTGTGGTAGCTCGGTGCTCTGTGGTTGCGTCAGGAAGGACATCCAGCGTAAAAATAACTGCCAAGTCTTTATGCGACTTAGTTCGCTGTGGTGACCCCTGAAGAAGGGAGCAGTCGAAAGAAGAAGAAGAAAGAAAAAAAAACAGATAGATAGATAGATAGATAGATAGATAGATAGATAGATAGATAGATAGATAGATAGATAGATAGATAGATAGATAGATAGATAGATAGATAGATAGATAGATAGATAGATAGATAGAAAATAAACTATTACTTGTACTACTATTCCTACTTCGTGTTTTTTTTTCACTTCGGGTTACGGATCCCCCCTCAATAAACGAGGGATTTCTTTACTTGCGTTTTCTTACCAAATGTAAAGAAATCAGAGATGAGTAGACAAACACATTTATTTTGTGAAAATCATTTTTTTCTCCATTCATGATGTAAAAAAACCCAACAATTTACATTAAAATATACTTTTAAATGTATATTATTGATTAATAGTGTTTTAGTACTTTAAAAAAGTGTTCAACGTGTTTTGATAACTTTGATGGAAATTTCAAAACTGTTGAGATAAAATGATTCAGATCTTCATTTTTTCTATAAAAACAGAAACAGTTAAAAAAAACGTGCAGAATGTGACTGGGATCAGACAGAAAAACAAAACCTGGACCCAGGAATAATCCCAGTTTTCATCTTTAAGGACTGGAAGAATAAAATTCCAAGGAATCATTTAGAAGAGTTGAATCCATGAATGTGAAAATGTTTCTGAGTGACAGAGTCAGATATCTACTGACTGAACCATCTGCTGAACATTGAGAAGGTTTCTCTGACAGGAGGAGACTCTGCATCAAACTCAACACACAAACACTGAACCAGAACTAACGGTAAATCCAGGATGAAGAGTTTGAGTGAACGTGGTGTTGAAGGTGTGGAGGTGGATCAGGGAGTCAGAGGAGACTCTGTAGAAGGACAAAATGCCAGCAGGACAGTCCACGTACACTGCCACTCTGCGGGAGGAGGAGGAGGAGGAGGAGGAGATGGATATTCCATTGTTATTGTGCCAGACAGAGTAACCACCATCAATGCACTCCAGACTCCAGGACTGATCATTCCATCCAAACCTGCAGCTTTTACTGTCTCCTCTCCTTCTGATCCCTCTGTAGCTCACAGATATGAAAACTCTTCCCCTCCACTCGACCTCCCAGTAGCAGCGACCAGTCAGACCAGCTCCACACAGCAGCTGAGAAACATCAAATCTGTCTGGATGGACAGGATATGACTGGACCTCCTCCACACGGGTCACCCTCCTGTTGTTGTCGGACAGCTGGAGTTTTCTGCTCACCGTGTTTGTGTCGATTGTGAGCTGATAGGAATCTGATGGAGAGAACAAGCTGCAGTTATTGATCCACCATCTGATCAGTTATTGACACTTTGATGATGACTGAATGAGTGATGAGAAGATGGTTGAACGTTGCTGCGTTGTTATCATGGAATAAATAAAAACACACTTACACTTCCTCAGACCTGGTGTCAGCCATCGGACTCCAGCAGGCTCCACCCTGAAAGCAGCAGCGAGGTCAGACCATCAGTCTCTTTCAGCAAACATGGACACTACATGTCTCTCATCCACACATGGTTCTACAGTGAGAAAGGATCAGTCCAACATTTGAAGGGAGCGTCTCTAAAGTCCAGTAATGCTCCTACTTGTCTGATCGTTCAAGTCCAGCAGGAGGCATAAGGTAGAGCTGAGTGAAGAACAGAGAACATGTTTCCAGTTCTTCCTCCTCCAGCAGACGTGTGTCTGCAGCAGGTCTCTGTCAGGAGATGTGTGGTCAAGGTTTATGGATGTTTTTAAACTACTCTGGCTGAGAACCGCCCACGAACCTTGTGTTTGAGTTACCAGAGAGTTATTTTCTCCCTCAGAGAGCTGAATGAGGAGCTGATTTGATCCTGCATGTGCAGCTGGGTGGCCGAGGTCATCAGTGTGCTGCAAGAGCTGATAAGCTGATAAGAACTTTTATACATCTGTGTAACGTGTGGTGAAAGTCTGCCCTCGAAAGTTAAACTGGTAAAAAAAAATCTTGTGTCCTCGAGTGTGGCGTCGTTGAGTCGGTAAGATGAATAGAGGATTTTTTTACGCAACAGTCTCCCCATACCTGAGTGTGTCCAGTCTCCAGTGTGGATCCATCAGTCCAGCTGCCAGCAGCTTCACCGAGTCTCCTGGATGATTGTAGCTCAGGTCCAGCTCTCTCAGATGGGAAGGGTTGGAGCTCAGAGCTGAGTTCAGAGGAGCACAGCCTTCCTCTGTGACCCGACAGCCTGACAGCCTGCAGACACAGACAGCCCTGACACAAACTACAGATGACTGGATCAAACGTTCACAGAAAGCCAACCGTCTTTGAGTTTTCATTTCAACCACTGTCTCTTCGATTATCTGAATTATGCAACTTGGATAAATAAGTATGATTTCTAAATAAGACCAGAGCAGTATATTAAATCCATCAGAATGTAAAGATTTTAGTTTGTGTTAAGTTTGAAAATAATTAAACTAAATGATCAAGTGCATCCAGACATTTATTCTTAGTGTATCATCTGGCTTGTAAAACAGTGAAAATGGAAATAAATGAAGAAATAAACTGAAACCAAAACTTGACAAGATTAAAGAGAAAAACTGTTTCACTTTTTTCCTCTAATATATGAAACATCACGTGAGAATGAGAAATATCTTGTTTTTTAATCTTCCTGCTGCTCTTAATTCAAAATGACACGAGGGCATTTTGTGTTCCAATTGAAATTCTGTGTTTCATTTTTTAGCTTTTCTAGTAAACCATGCCTAAATAATAAAATAATTTTAGCCTAAGTATTGGCCTATAATTTCTATTGTCTAAATATCATACAGGTGAAGTGTTGGTTGTCAACATGATCTTATTTAACGTTCTGACCTGAGAGTTTCCAGGTGACAGGGTGGACACCTCAGGGCAGCAGAAAGCAGCTTCACTCCCGAGTCCTGCAGGTTGTTGTTGCTCAGGTCCAGTTCTTTGAGACCGGGGGACTGGGAGCTGAGGACTGACGACAGAACCTCACCGCTTCTCTCCGACAGGTTACAGTAACTCAGTCTGTAAAAAAGCCAAATTCAAATAATGTTTTTTATTCAAATTAAACACATTTCACATTGAAACTGAATTTAAAGACAACTTTGGATCAAAAATCACCCACAAGGTCTCAGTTTTAAAACTGAGACCTGGCGAGTCATTTTGACGGTGGTTTTCTTCTTGTTAGTAAAGTTATATTTATATTGTGTTGCTGAATGTTTTAGCCACATATTTGTGAGGACAGTTTGCTTTTGAAAACATCTGTTTTGACAGGAACTCATTAAATAGTGTTGAACAATAAAAGCTGCTGACCTGAGCGTCTCCAGGCGACAGTGTGAACTCTTCAGTCCAGCAGAAAGCAGCTTCACTCCAGAGTCCTGCAGGTTGTTGTTGCTCAGGTCCAGTTCTGAGAGACCGGAGGACTGGCAGCTGAGGACTGACGACAGAACCTCACCGCTTCTCTCCGACAGGTTACAGTAATTTAGTCTGAGTAAACAACATGAAAAAAAATAAAAATACAATCTATAATAAAAAAAGTATTTTCTTGTGAAAATGCAGTGTAAATGCTGACTGATGAACGGCTGCTTAACATTGGCTAAAGAATATGACACTGATTTATGAAAGCTAAATAAAAGTTCGCTATACTAGAAAAAAACAAGCTAAATTTAGCTAAGAAGTAAAACTAGCAAAACAAGACAATAGCTAACTAGTAACACCACTAGCAAAAAGTAAAAGAGGTCATGCTCTAAAACTAGCATAAAGCTAGCAGCAAACTGTTTACTAAACACAAAAATAACAAAACGCTGTCTAAAACCTAAAGTGTAAAATGCTTGCTAGAATCTAAAAGTAGGAAAACAGCAACTAAAAACTACAAGTAGCAGAATGTTAGCTAATAGCTAAAAGTAGCAAAACCGTAAGTAAAAGCTATGGTAGAAGGTTCTGATGCATGCTCAATAATCCAGGTCAATCTAACAAGGGTCAGGTCCTCCTCACGGATTCTTCTTGCTTTGTCTTTTATCCAAAAGACTTCTTCAGTCTGAGTTTGCTGCAGGGTCCCAGACTGAAGAAGAAACGTTTCAACAAGAAGAATACGTTTAGAAGACCTGACTTAACCTTGTTAGATCAAAACTAGAAGAAGCATAAGACAAACAAGCCTCTTTACAATTATTGTATTGAACTGAAGGACTCTCATTGTACAGTACATATCTGGAGAAATGATTTGAAAATATATCCATCCACTCATCCATTATCTGCTGCTTTTTCTGGAGTCGGGTTGTGGGGTTAGCAGCTTGAGCAGGGGGACCCAGATATATTTTACCACAACCACCTCTTTCACTGATTCTGGGAAAATTCCCAGGCTAGTCGAGATGTTTTCCCTGGGGTCTTCACCCAGGTGGACATGCCACAAACACCTCTCTAAGTAAGTAGGCCTGTACAGGGGGCATTCTTACCAGAATTCCCTAGTAATTTTTTTAAATTAGCGATATGATAAGCTGCTGATTTGTTAACGTTGCGGCGCCACCTCTCACTGTTCCTCTCATCAGGCACAGCACGGCTAAATGAGTTCTGACCCGTGGTTTGTTTCAGGGAAGGAGGCTGAAGTGTGTCAGCACTGCAGCTGCAGCAGTTCACACACGCTTACTAATGTCGTGACGGCGGCGCAGCTGAAGAAGATTATTATTTAATATATGTAAATAAAGGTCTAAAAAATAAACTAATATATGTAAATAGTTTAATTTTTAGACATTTATTTTGTACAGTTACAGCTGTTTACTAAATGTGCCTGTGTGACAACTGGGACAAAGCTTTGACTCAAATGTATTTTTGTTATTACTTTATGGAAATAAAAAAAATATTGAAATATATATCGTATATCGCGATTAATTTTAAAATATCAAGTTATTAATTTTGGTCCATATCGCCCAGCCCTACTGTCAAATTAAATTTTTAAATGGCTGCCAGGTGGCAGTCCTCATCAAAGATTCTCCAGGAACTTTCTAGTTACTTCCACTGTCTAACAACATCACTGGTTGAGGTCAAAAGCACCCCAACTCCACTATACACCATATTTGTAAATTACTTCTTCTGCTGCCTCAGCTGCTTAAGAGTTTTTCAGAATCTTGTCAAACCAATCAAGAGTCTCCATCTTAGGCCTCATCAAACTCCTTCTACACCCGTTGCCTCATCAACAACTAGGGCAGGGCTATCAACTAAATTGCTAAGGGTGCCAAAGCTACCGAAAGCCAAGTGCTCAGGTGCTGGAGATCCAGTAGTTATTCTCATTAAGTATGTTTGTTTTATGGTTTAAAATCTAGTCTTGTTCTTAAATGAACCCATTGGTGGGCCGAACTGAGCTCACCTGTGGGCCTGAGTTGGCCCCCGGACCGCCAGTTGAATAGCCCTGAGCTTGGGCTTCAGCTTGCTTGGCATGACAATGCCTGTCTGCCTCTGGGGGCCTAACAGCTAACAAGACTGCCACAAGAGGCAAAATCAACCTTGCAGTCACGACTCAGGGTCACATCTTCAACAATGGCAGCATGTCAATGTTTCTTACCTCTGCTGGGATGCAGTTAAAGCTTTGTCATACTGTAGATGGGAGCTGAAGGTCTTTCTATTGGGTTCTGCTGGAAGGTATTCCCAGCAAACCTTCACTAAACATTTGAGTCTACCTCATCTTTCCCTGCCACCTGATCCAACCCACCACCAGCCCTGCACCTCCACCTCCTTTTTGTTCCAAACCCATACTGTGCACTGAGGGGCGAGAGCCTGGATGTATCTAATCTGTACCTCTCAACCTCCTGTGCAAGCTCAGGCTTCTTCCTCTCCAAACAAGGACAGTTATATGGCCTAAGAGCCAGCTTTGGCAAGCTAGGATCAGAGCGCCGAGCCCTACGCTGCCGTCCAGCTCCAATCATAGTTCATTATGGTGGTGGGGCCACAGAAATGTGAATCCAAACAGCCCATGGGGGCTGAGCCCGACCAAGCCCCAAATGTAGAGGCCCGGGCATCAGGTGCTTGCCGATGAGCCCATCCCCCACTACGGGGAGGGTAAAGGTAAATAATTTACTTTACTTTTAGAAAAGTAAGTTGTAAATAAATTGTGTCGTTCACGATTAAGTCTATCTGACCTGAGAGTTTCCAGGTGACAGTGTGAACTCTTCAGAGCAACAGAAAGCAGCTTCACTCCTGAGTCCTGCAGGTTGTTGTTGCTCAGGTCCAGATCTGTGAGACCGGAGGACTGGGAGCTGAGGACCGAGGACAGAAATTCACAGCACCTCTCTGACAGGTTACAGCAACTCAGTCTGAAGTGACAAAACAGGTTAAAACATCAGATTTGTGATTAAAATAAAACACGTTTCATATTGAACATGAACAAAAAATGACATTCTTTACATGGTCGTGTTTTTGTTATTTGAGAACAAACAGCTCTGATCAATGCCAACCTTTAGAAATCATTGCTATTTCAATCAAGTAGTTGTTAGTTTTTTGTATGTTTATATTCATGTTGTGTTGCTGAATATTTTACCCACATATTTGTGAAGAAAGTTTGTTCTTGTTAACATCTGTTCTGATAAAACTCATTAAATTGTGTTAAACAATAAAAAAACCCTCCTGACCTGAGAGTTGCCAGTTGACAATGTGGACTCATGAGTCCAACAGACAGAAGCTGGATTCTTGAATCTGTCAGGCTTGTGTTACTCAGGTCCAGTTTTTTTAGATTACAGGACTGGGCACTGAGAACTGAAGACAGAACTTCACAGCTTCTCTTGGAGAGTTTCCACACACTCAGCCTGAGGACAAAAGTAGGAGAAATAAATAAGTATTTTTAAAAAGCAGGGGGAAAAGGTTTTTGTGAAAATGCAGTGTGAATACTGACAGCTGAAAGATGTCACTGAAACTGGCTAAAAAAAGAAGCTGTTGCTAATTAAAGCTAAAAGAAAAATGCTAGCTGAAAGTCAAAAGAATAGTAGCTAAAACCTAACAGAAGCCAAATGTTAGCAAAAAGTCAAAGGTATTAAAACGGATAAATACTAAAAGTTGTAAAATACTATCCAAAATGTGTAAAATGCTATAGCTAAAGCCCAAAGTAGCAAAAGCCCAGCTCATAGATAGATGTAGTAATATGTTAGTTAAAAGTTAAATGCAGCAAAAGCCAGGCTAAATGTTAAAAATAAGAAAATGTATGTACAGAACAACAACAGAAAAAATGAATAAACAGGAAATCAATGATGAATCAACATTCATACAAATATATTTATCATTAAAATTAAACTAATCTCATTATGAATGTGAACTGAATAATAATAAATAATTATCCTGATGCGTGCTCAATAATCCAGAAAAATCTAACAAAGTTAAGTCAGGTCCTCTAGACGGATTGAAATAATAAAATAAAAAATAAAAAAAACTTGTTGAAACGTTTCGTCTTTAATCCAAAAGACTTAACTAACTTTGTTTGATTTTTCAACCTGGATTACTGAGCACGCATTAAGATATTTGGAACCAGTTTGGCCAGGATTGCACTGATGAAGTCTTTTGGATTAAAGCCGAAACATTTCATCTATATATATACATATATGTATATATATAAATATTTAATCCGTCCAGAGGACCTGACTTAACTTTGTTAAATAAATAAAGTTTACTTTGTAACATGTTTATGTGGTGCCTGAAAAAATACATGGAACAAGCAATCCACAGCACGGCTTAAGATTTCTGTGCTGGAACCAGAGTGTATCAGTGACAATCTGATTCAGGCATTAGGGTGTTGTGACGTTAGCTTTGTGTCATAGTAACATCAAAATGATTGAATTATCTTCTCAGCAAGGTCATCGAGGTCAGCAGTAGCCTGTTAAAGACATTCACAAATCAATGGCGTCAGAAGCATTTGTAATGTGTGTGTGTGTGTG